GAGAGAACCATCCTCGGCTGCGCTGACCTCCATGGTGAGCGAACGAGGGCAAGGAGGAGAGCAGCAGAGGGGAGCAGCAGACGTGTGGCAGGACAAGGAGACCCTGGCGTAGATCAAGGGAGAAACAACGGAGGATGGGGGACCAGCCTCAAGGGCTCGAGCTCGGGAGCAACATTACAGGTGGTTTCAGGGACAGGTGCAGCTGCAGACGAAGGATGGGTGGAAAAGGGTGCCGGCGCCGGCGGAAAGGGAGAGCATAATACGAGAGGTGCACAACAAGCTGGGTCACTACGGGCCCTTGAGGACACAGCAGCTGCTGCAGACTGGGTGGTGGTGGGCAGGGATGCGTAAGGAAGTGAAGGAGTGGGTGGGTGAATGTGAAGGTTGTAGTGGGAAGAGTTCGGGGGATGTACAATTGAACATATTGTACATAGCGAGCTGTGTGAGTATCGAGGATGGAAGGCAAAGGGTCAGGTGGCTGTTGGGAAAGCGGGGAGAACGAGGGGTTGGAAGGTGGTTGACGTCTGCCGAAGAAAATGGTTGGGTACTAGCATAGGAACCGAACTGGGTGGGACTTACGTAAGTGGAGAGCGGGTGCGGGAGGGAATTACAGTGTTAGGCAGCAGCAGGGGAAGGGGGGTGTTACCACCATTACTTGGATGGGTGTTCGTGTGCATGTGTGTTTGCTTTCATGTATGTGCAGGCGTGCTCCAAGGAGCCAGCTGGATCAGGGCAGTGTCAGCTGGAGGCAAAGTAGCTGGAGGCGGGGAAGACAGGTGTAGAGCAGCGTAGATGCAAGACTGCTCGAAGGTAGCAATAGCTGCTAGCGAACATACTAGGGGATGACGGGACGGGAGAGGAGGAGGCAGAGCTGGTAGTATAGGCGGATCCTTGTTGTAGCTAACCTCATTCCTTGTATGTTTTCCTTTTTACAGGAGTGTTTTGCGGCAATCTGAGCAAACGGTGACGCTAGGGAGATATGACGAGCAATACTTAAGAAACTAGGAAGCCATTATGTGTGAAGGAGCAAAGAGCTCATCAGAGAAGTAACTGAGAGACCACATCAAGGGAGGCAGGAACGAAAGGCACAGACAAGGAGTGACAGCAGAGAGAGCAAGGAAGCAGAGTGGGGAAAGCATGCAAGGATGCAGGGAATGGTGCAAGAGTGATGCAAGTGGTGAGTGAGTGGCAGTCAAGAGAACCAAGGGGGAAAGGAAGTGTGAGCCGAGCAGTCCCAGAGGGATACAAGAGGAAGTGAGTGAGTTCCCGACAACCACAAGAGGGTGAGAAGCAGGAGTAAGAGAGAAAGGCACACGAGAGCATTGAGGAGGTGGGTGAGTTTCCGACACACGTAGAGGGCTTTCTTGATGACTGCTAGTGAGGGGTTGCAAGAGATGAGCTCGTGCCGAACGCCCAACGCCGCACCAGAGCAGAAGGGACCGAACAACCAATCGTCCCGAACACACACACACTGATGACTGAGGATTTTGGAAGCATGCAGAGGTTTGTACCCCGCGGCTCCACTCGTCCACCTGGTAAAACCGAGTGGGATTTGAACCGCACCATCCCGTCAGGAAGGATGTCCACCACTTGGAACACCCGCTGCAGATTCTCCCGCTCGTTGCTGATAATCGCCCATTCGTGTAGTTGAAGGTAGCCGTCCGCAGGTTGAAACGTTTCAAGCACTGACCACCAGTCATTGTCCATGGCGTTGTAGATGTCTTCGATAATACTGAACCCGCATGGGAATTCCTTGGGGGGAAAGTTTGCACGGAACTCTTTCTTGCTCATACGTCGCGCGCCACCTTGGGTAGGTATGAGGATGTTGCCGATTCTCAGCTGCTGTTGCAGGAGGAAGGTTTCGTTCTTGAGTCTTCCAAACAGGAGGTTGGTGCCTTTTCTTTTCAGGAACCGATTGAAAGCCAGTGGCTCTGCCATTAGGACCCACGGTTCCAGCCAGGGGGGAGTGATAACGACCTGAAGAGCCAACACACTTCGAAGTTCCACGAGTGCCCTGCAGGGGATGTCAGATGGCAGATGGTCCTTGATGTCCGAGTGTGCTAGAAAGCAGTGAGCAGGAATGCACTCACGACCGACTGCCTCGAAAGGTGTGGGTCTGAACCTTCTGACGGCACGTTGTATATTCAGGGCCTCGATCTGAACGGACGGTGCAGTCGCACCAACCCCCCCATGTGCCTGCTAATTGTATAGAAAGTTCTTGAGGATAAGTCTGGTGGTCAGGCCGAAGACCTTATACTTGGAAGAGAAGAGGAAATTGCCGACCGTTATGCATAGCTGAGAAGTAACCTGCGGGGGGGGGGGAGGTTGGAACCGGGCACCAAAGGAATATAAAGAAGATAGCCGTCAAAAGATTCATGCATTTGGTGGTTGCTTTAATCTTGGCGAGGAAGGCGGCAGTGGACCGTACCCTGCCTAGGATATGTTCCCACGTTTTCTCACCAGGTGTTGCCTCTTCAACAAACACCCCAAGAATCCTTTCGGCCTCGTTCATCCCCCGGATAGGGATTGCACCGGCACCTGCAACCTGATCCGCTTGCACATGAATAGGGATGAAGGAGCATTTTTCCCAGTTGGGATGTTCCCCTGAAACTTCTGCAAAGGTAGAGAGCATGTCCACTGCTGTGACAAGCTCTTGGTTAGAACTGAGAAACAGAGACACGTCGTCCGCGTAGCAGGCCATGAGTTTGCGTTGAGTACGAGATAGAGCGAAGCTGGGCAGAGTGGTGGACAGATGCCTCTGTAACACCTCAATTACACAGACAAACAACAGGGGGGCGAGCGGATACCCCTGCCGAACGCCCGTGACAACGGGGAAGGTGGGGCCATCCAGGTTATTGACCGAGACTCGGGTAAGTGTGTTGGAGTGGAGCAGTCTGACCCAAGTCACGAACTGTGGAGGAAGGCCAAGCTGGGAGAAACGTTGCAACATGAACTCTCTGTCAACCATGTCATAGACTTTACGGATGTCAACGGTGAAAAGCAGCATGGGGGTTTGTTGCACTACAGCCCAGTCAATAATATCCAAGGTGTCATTGATTGTGTCACCGATCTTCCTCCCCTTAATGAACGCAGCTTGAGAGGCATTAATGATGTTGGGCAGAATGTGTTGCAAGCGTTCTGCCAGGATGAGAGCGAGAACCTTGTAATCAGCATTCATCAGAGTAATGGGGCGTAGCTTCTCAACTATCTTCGTATTACCCTTCTTAGGGATAAGGACTGTTCTGCCGGTGCACATGGAAGCCGGTAGCTCTTGCGAGGCCCAACTGACGGAGAAAAGCTCAAGTAATGCAGGGGCCGTACTCTCTTTGTATACTCTCAGCAAGTCACCAGGTAAGCCATCAGGACCAGGGGTCTTACCCCTAGCGAGTTTGGAGATCGCAGCTTCAACCTCCCTTAGCGAGATCTGTTTAGCCAGCTTGATGGAGTTGTATTGGGAGATGACAGAAGGGTAAATGTTCTCCCAGAAGGCGGGGGACCGCTTGATCGGGGTGTTCCCACTGTAGAGTGAGGAGAAAAACTGCGTGAATAGGGAGGACATCTCCCTGAGGTCAGACGTTTTGTCGCCAGAGGGGAGGGTGAGTTGGGGAATGAGCGAGTCTTTGATCCTGCGGTTTAGGCCGAAAATCAGTGAGGAGAGGTCCATTTCTCAGGGGCCTTGAATCTTCAGTTTTGCCTTGAGTGCGATTTCATTGACCCTGCAGGAGTCAGACACAACAAAACAGTTTTCGAGATGGGCAAGGCAGCCAACTGAGCTGGCATCCAGAGGTTGGCGCAGCAAATGCAATTGCAGCCTGCAGATTTCCTCCTGAAGGTGAGATGTGGTTTTGGAGACTCTTGTACATTCTTCCCGTGTAAACCACTGGAGTTTAGCAGACAACCGTTTTTTCCATGGATCCCACGAGGGGGGATTAAACTGGTCAGGGAGTGCCGATGTCATTTCGGCAATGGTAGCAGATACAAACGGTTTGGTGATGAGTGGGTGAGGTAAACGCCACGGCCTGGGGGCAATGTTGGGGTTGTCAAACCGCAGGGAGATGAAGGAAGCACCAGTGTGGTCAGAGAGACGTGGGTTGACGGATAGATATTTGGACTCCTCAAATCGTTGTTTCCAGGAATCGGACAGAAAAATCCTGTCCAATCTAGAGCCGGCTGGAAGAGCCACTAGTCTGAAGCTTAACAAAGGAGAACATGGGCTAGTTGGGGTGGATGTGCCTGAACGAGTCAATCAGGCTTTGCTCTTTCGTGAAGTCACTGAAAAACGTTGCCTCGGTTTGTTCATGTGCAGTCAGATTCCTGTTGCGGTCAAGGTCCAGATCAACGTTGTTGAACTCACCTGCTAGAATGATGCTATCACTAGCAGAAGGTTCCTGAAAAAGGGGTTCGATGTTCGAGTGCCACCACCGTCTACGGTCAATATAGTAGTTGGGGGCGTAGATACCGAGGATTCTGATTTGCTCTTGGAGGTAACTAAAGTGAATCAATAGATGCTGCCGTCGCACGAGGATGAGCGTGAAGAGATATTGATTTTGGGATGAAAGATAAGAATGGCAACACCCCCAGGTTGGGGTTTACCATTTGCAAACACTGGGGGCGATTGAGCATAAGCACTGGGCCGGAGTCTGTAAATGAGACGTGCAAGGTTGTTGGTGAGCCTGGTGTCAGTGAGGATTAAAATGTCCGGGGTAACTCTCATCCAAGATTTGAGCTGACCATTTGAGCTGACCAATGAGAATTTTACATTCATACATAAAATTCTGAGTTGTGTTAACATTCTGAAACCAGAAACAACCCCCTTGTGTGTTGTTGCACACCCATCCACGGGGGTAGAGATCGTTGCAAGTGATTTCCCACATCCTTAGTTACGGTACTGGAAGAGTAACAGATTGAGAACAAGAATGGTTTGCTTATGCACTCCCCGCAGGGTAAGAAAGCGCATTGCAAGAGTATGTCTATGAACCTCCGATGCAAGACCGTCATGCTCACACCTCCTCAGTCAGAAACTTTGCAAAGGCTCCCCTCTGGACAGACAGGTGAGCCGGGGTGTCCCCCAACTCCACAATGGGAGCTGCCTTCTTGACGGTGTCCAGCAAATGGCTCTGGTGAGCAGGAGTTTTGAGGTGCTGCATAACACTGTCGAGTGCCCAGCCGCAGCAGAAAGAGCACACTGCACAGGTCCAGGCCTCGACGTCCCCCTCGAGTCCTATGTACAGGAGACCAGGGTCCTTCTTGAAAGCGTGCACGGTGGGGTTCTGGTCGACGAGTTTCCCTGTCAGCAGAGACACGGGCAGATCCAAAAAGGGAAAGCACAGATAGAGAGTGGAAGGAAGAATCAAAGAGCTTGCCCCCCCAGGGAAAGCACCGACATTTAAAAGTCCGACATGGCAGACAGTGGGCCACCTAGGTGCGGGCAGAACACGGATATCACAGAAACCGGTGGCAAGCCAAGAGAAAAACTTCATCATTGAGAGGGAACTTAAACCGAGAAGAAGATTGGGAAAAACTGTACCGTTCACATGCTTCAACTGGCCAAGCGAGATCTGGTACTGATTCGCCAGCCGACCTTTGCGTGCGGTCGCGAACCCACTGTGGTCAGGGGCCCGGTGGTTGCTGTTGCACACTCCGCAAGAGTGTGATGAGAAGTTGAGGATGAGAGGATCGCGGATCCCTAGGAGCCAAATGAAGGCAGGGACCTGCAGGAAATGCGGGTCATCATCCACAACAATCGGAATTCCGTTCAGCTGAGGCAGGAACGCGTCTTCGTACGGATCGTACGCCTTATAGAAGTGGCGGAGTTCCTTCAGCCACCTCCTTGCCGGCGGACGGCGGTCCTTGGTGAGAAGGGTGACGATGTCGGCTATCGCGAAGCCGATAGGGACGTTGCGAATGACGAGGTGCGTAGTGTCGGCGGCCCTGGCGGCAGAGTATTCGGGCTCGGGGTCCTGATAGAACTTGATTTTTGCGGACACACCCTCAGCACGGTACGTGCGCGGAAGAACATTGCGGAAACGGAGAGCCGCATCATGCGTAGGCCACTGCAAGATGTGCCGGCAGTACGACCTACGAGGGAGGCGCAGGATTTCTCCTGGCGCGTGGTCAAACTTGGGAACGACACCACCGAAATCACGGCCCCGAACGGGTGCGGTCCACAATCTTGTAACGGCGCGACTCAGCAGAATCAGAAAAATGATAGTGGTCAAGCAATCCGTGTCACGAACAAGAGAATCAGCAACCACACCGATATTCCTGCGACGGAGCCTATTGAGATGGCCAGAGAGCGCGGGGCCTGTCGCGACGCTTGTTTCGGTTGCTGACCTCGTCTGCTGCGAGGCAGCAGCGAGCCGGGGAGATGGGGGAACAGAGTTGCCGCGAGCCAACGGGGCTCGGTGACCACTGGCAGGAGCTAGCGGGGCTGAGTAAGAGCCCTCAACGCACAACTTATTGGCAGGGGGAGGAGCAGAGGGACCAGCAAGAGCCTCTGGCTCGTCTGCAAAGAAAGAATCCACAGAGAAGGAAGCGTCGAGCTCTTCCTCCCCCACCGGCACATCAGGGTTGTGCGAGTGGGCCATCTTGCCAAGTGATGGCCTCCTCCATGACGGAAATGTTGACGGGAAATGGCCCGGCCCTCGCTTTGGCGAAGAAGACTTCGCAGTCGGGGGAGCGTAGAAGTCGACGTCGACAGCGCGCAGAGTTCGACGTCGACCTATCAGTAGAGTTCGACGTCGACCTGTTCGCAGAGTTCGTCGTTGACCTGTCCGCAGAGTTCGACGTCGACCTGTCAGTAGAGTTCGTCCGCAGAGGACGCTGGTCGACGCGTCCGCAGAGGACGCTGGTCGACGCGCTCGCAGAGGACGCTGGTCGACGCGCTCGCAGAGGACGCTGGTCGACGCGCTCGCAGAGGACGCTGGTCGACGCGCTCGCAGAGGACGCTGGTCGACGAGCTCGCAGAGGACGCGGTCGACGAGCTCGCAGAGGACGCGGTCGACGAGCTCGCAAAGGACGCTAGTCGACGAGCCCGTAAAGAGGTGCTGGTATACGGGCTCTGCTCGACGTGCTCGTTTAGGCGAATGCTATTCGACGGAGCATCGTCGAGCTGCTCGACGCAAGTCGTTCGACTGCGAAATTTGACGTGTAGGCGAATGTCGCCCAGGAGGTTTTCGCGAAGTCGACCTGCGGAACGGCATCACGTGCTCGACGGTGCATTGCTGGAGAAACCGTCGACACGCGTTCTACCTGGCACCTGCGCAATGTGCCTGGCGGCGCGACCGTCTATCTGCACCTACTTGGTAGGTGCGCACATGCGCAGAAGTTCGCCTGCCTCTGCCACACTGGCAGACCGCTGCGGTGCAATACTGGCAGACTACTCTGCTGCAGCGTTGGCAAGCCGGTCTTCTGCTGCGCTGGCATAGTTCGCCCTGCAGAGGGCTTGCTAGGTGTTGCAATGCCATTCTACCTATATCGACTTGCATGCCTCATTTGTAATCTAATGTTCTCTCGATTTCTTATTGAAACTCTTGCCAAATTTCTTTGTGAACACAGCAAGTATTGATAACGTCTAGTGCAATCCTATGATGACCCGCACAACCCCGTGCCTTCCTCTGTAGTCCACTCCCGTTGTGTAGTGTCTCTCCGCATGGTGCGGTGAGCGTGGACGGCCCCGCAAAGATACCTTCAGAGTAGCCGACTTAGGTGCACATTACCTAATTCGTTGGTAGGCCGACAACCGTCTTAGTCGCAATGGTCGACCCCGTTGTTGAAGCGGGCGTAGAGGATACTTTGGAGACTCGAGAGGCTGATGTTAGGAGACGCCATACAGCTGGCGAGTTCGGCGAGGTCCGCTTGGAGTGGGCACTCCTAGGCACTCGCGCGCAGTGGGCGCGCGACCACCCACCTCCCCGTGCTGCAGCGGACGGCGCGTCTACCTCGCCCCGACCTGCGCAACGAAGGCGGCGTCAACGAGCAGGTCGATGATGGTGAACAAGTTGGCAGAGACGAAGGCACAAGGAGGATGAGTGGAGTGATCAGGGCCGCCGACGACAGGGTCGGCGGAATACATGCGCGAGTGCAGCGGTCAACGGCGGGTGCGGGCAGCCCGCACGGCGACGTCGACGGTCGACGTTGCCCCCCGCAGAGAAGTGGAGTGCGGCAGAGCTCTTCTACGCACGTGGCGGCGGGCGGAATTGCGCCAGCCTACTGATACTTTAAATTCTCGCCGGACAAGATCGACGTGCCTATACAGCTGGAAGGTCGACGAGACCTCATCACGTGGAGGGAGTCGATCGAGCCCCAGCTGGAAATTGCAGGGCTGAAGTGTTTTGCAGACGGCGAAGTGGTGACGCCGGAAGAGGACGGCATAGAGTTGCGGGCAGAATTCTGCGCGGCTCATTTGCTGACCTTCATGGACATCTCGCGCTGCTGCTCGCCGATGGTGCAGATCGCTCTGAAGCTGTGTAGACTTCGTCTGGACGCTGGCCTGTAGGTGTGGCGGTTCATCTTGTCGACGTATCAGGCGACCGACGACCTCTACATCGGCCAGCTGGAGGAGCGCTTGACTCACCTGAGGATGGGCGAGCAGGAGTCGGCGACGGACTACTGCAACCGAGCTCGACGGATCCTCGCCAACATGCGGATGGCGGGCGTCAACTACTCGACGGCGTCCTACATCACGCACGTCATCAAGGGGCTGCCGAGCAGCTATAACCTTATGCGTCGGCTGATGGTGGTGCCTGGCACGCATGAGTCGCTCAACGAGGACACCCTCACCAGCTACACCATCAGAGATGAGGCGATGCGGGAGGCAGAGAGACCCACGGAGCTCCTACCGCAGGCGAACTACGTCGCCCCGACGAAGCTGATTCGTCAGCAGGGGCAACACGATAAGCAGAGCGGAGGTGGTAGCGGTGGTGGGAAGTCGGCGAAGGACGCTGGCCGGTCGAAGTCGGCGCGGAACAGCGGTAGAGGCGGAGTGCTGGATCAGCGGCGACCCCGACCACCTATCCTACGAGGACTTCAAGGCGGTCGCGGCCGCCGTGCAAGCGAACCTGACAGCGGCTGTTCCCACCTTCTGATGGGGACGAAGGGGGCGTTCGTCGAGATGAAGCCTGGAGGTGACGTCAAGCATGTGCGTGGCTTCAACGGGGCACTGCAGAACGTTGAAGGCCGTGGCATAGTCGCTCTGCGCGGGGAGACTGGGAAGCAGATTCTTGTTTCCGATGTACTCCACGTCCCGTGCGTGCACGCGAACTTGCTTTCTGCGGGCCAGCTGAAGGACAGCGGCGTGAAGCTGCAAGATGCCGGCGATGGAACGCTGCTCGTCTTGGCGGCGGGGGACGTCCTTGGTCGGGCGAAGTATACCAGCCGGGTCCTCTGCACCGACCTTCGACCTTGCTCGCAGAAGTCGATGTCGACCCCGGCAGAAGTGGTGGCTCTGCGGACAATTGCCTCAGCGACAAAGTCTACGCCGGACATGTGGCACGCAAAGCTCGTGCACGTCGGCATCGACACGATCAAGAGGTCGACAAAGCATGTGGTTGCCGTCGGTCTAGACATCAAGCAGTCGACCGCTTCGGATCTGCCGTGTGCCTCCTGCGTCGACGGGAAGCTGGCGAGACACACCTTCCCCAACCAAGGATCGGATGCAGAGAATGCGCTCGACGTGGTGCGCATCGACATTTGCGGGCCGTTTCGAGTGGCCGCCAACGATGGCAGCTTCTACTTTCTTCTGCTGAAGGACAGGAAGACTCGCTATGTGTGGGTCAGGCCGATCGCGAAGAAGAGCGACGCGCTGGTCGTCTTCGAAAGGTGGATGAAGTTGGTGGAGCGGCAGACGTTGACGACGGTGAAAATGCTGCGTTTTGACCGCGAAGGGGAGTTCCTCGGTCGAGCCTTCATTGACCTCGTCGAGGACAAGGGCATCCTCCACAATCTAACATGCCCCTATACTCCGCAGCAGAACGGGGTGGCAGAGCGGGTGATGCGTATGGTCGTCGAGACCGTGCGGACGATGCTGCTTCACATGGGCGTGAAGCACCAGTGGTGGCACCTTGCTCTGCGACAGGCCATCTGGGTGCGAAATTGCCTCGAACGGGCATCTCTGCCTTCGGGAACGATGCCGCACGAGCTGATGTTCGAGAAGAAACCGGATCTGACGTTGGCGCGCGTGTGGGGCTGCATGGTGCAGTTCATGGTCCCCGAGCAGCAGCGCGGCAGGAAGCTGTCGCCGAAGGCCAGTGGGGGGCCTTCATCTTGGTGTGTCGCTGGAGAGCAAGGGCTGGGAGGTGCTCGACCTCACCGACAACAAGGTGGTGACGACCGTAGAGGCCATCTTCTACGAAACAATGTCACTGGAGGCGTGGAAGGTAGAGCACGGCCCCATTTCGACGCGGAAACCTGCTGTCGCGCCGACGGATCCCTCGTCGACGACGACCCCTTTGCTTGCCGTCGAGGACGACGACATCGAGGACGTCACTACTCCCTCTGCGCCCACTTCTACCTCCCCTCTGCCCCTTGCGGCTGATCTGCCGAAGACGGCATCGCCGTCGGCCACCGGCGATGAGGGGAGCATTGCTGCGTTGCCTTCGGCGCCGGCTCGAGGCATCGCCGGCGGCCGACGTGACGGGATGCACCTCGGCGGACGAGTGCAGAAGCCTTCGACGACATGAAAGCGCCGGGCAGAGGAGCCGGCAGAGGAGGAGTCGGCATTGGCGAAATCGGCAGAGGAGCCGACGGCAGAGGACCAGCTCGACGATGACGCGTCGAGCGACATCGTAGAAGTCCTTGGCGGCAAGGAAGAGGAGCTGTCGGCAGGGGAGCAATCCGACGACAGTGAAGTGGTGGAAGACCCGGTCGAAGAAGTAAAGCCGAGGCGTTCTACCCGCTCCAACCTCGGTAAGCCCGCAAAGAAGCTGAGCTACCATGCCTGTCTGCCTCCGACCTCCTACAGCACGCTGCTCGACGACGCAAGGCCGACGTCGACCTGCCCGGGCTCGACCCCGACATGCACGCCGACCCGGAACATCGTTGGGACATCGCGACGATGACGGTGAAGTAGGCGTTGGCGAGCTGGAACGGGAAGGCGGTGAAAGGTCGCCATGGACGAAGAGATCAAGAGTCTCATCACCAACGGGACGTGGGAGCTGGTCGAGCGTCCACGCGGTGTCAACATTATGAAGAATCGCTGGGTGCTTATGACGAAGTACCACGTCGATGGCACGGTCGCCCGCAAGAAGGCCCGCCTGGTCGTGAAAGGCATCACGCAGGTCTACGGCGCAGACTACGACGAGACGTACGCACCGGTGGGGAGCTACGTGACTCTGCGAATCTTCCTTAGCATCATAGCAGTCCTCGACCTGCACCTGATGCAGCTCGACATGGAGAGCTGGATCGCGTCCTCTACATGTACCAGCCCGACTACTACAACGATGGCACCGGCCGCGTCTGCAAGCTGTTGAAGAGCCTCTACGGGCTGAAGCAGTCGCCGCTGCTGTGGTACAAGGCGCTCGACGACGTGCTGACTGGCGCGAACTGGAAGAAGAGCCAGGTCGACGATGCTCTACTTCAAGGTCGGCGA